GTTAAAGGAGACTTTGGGTGTGAAAGCAGCTTGCTAAGTCTGCTGTTATCTGGTAGCACTTTGGGAAATCCTGTTTCTCAGCCTCCTTCCCACTTTTCTCCTGCAATTCTCTGTCTTTATCTTCCATTCCGAGCCTTCCAGCTATTCTGTCATCCTTGCACTCTGCAAACACACCGGGCACTTTCTCTCCTGAGGACCTCTGTCCATTTGTTTCCTCTGACTGGAGCACTCTCCCCCAGAGAGCACCCCATCTTCTTCATCTCCTTCAGTCTTTGTTCCGATATCACCCTCTCTGAGCCCTATCGTGACCACCATGTTTAAATCACAGAACCCACCTCAACTCTTGTAGATCCTTTCTCCAGCTCTGTTTCACTTCTTTGCCTATCAACTTCTTACTCACTATATAATTTGCTTGTGAATTGCGTTTAGTGTTTACTGTATGTTTACTCCAGTGCAATGTGAGCATCACACTGGTAGAAATTTTTATTGGCCCTAATTACTGCTGTACTTTAAGCTCTAGTAAGTTGCAGGTACTCAATCAAATATTTATTATGTAAGTAAATATCTTCTCTATGCCTCCCTTTCCTTTCTATAGGAAAGTAAACTCAAGCTCTGTTTTTATATCAGGATGTTTCCAAGAGATGCGGACTCCTGTACATGTACACCCAGAGCACTAATTTTATCACACTCATCCACCCTCACTTGCATTCCCTGCCTCAGCACTGGGAGCCTCCTGGTTTTCATCACCCCTGATTTTGTGCTGTTTCCACTTCCTGTATGAAGTGTTCTTGGGTCACACTTTTCTGAAGCTCCTTTTCACTTTCTGATTTTTCTGAATCAGCTGGAATTGGTGTTGGGGGCCCAGTGTTTTTGGAGGGAAGACTCCTGCTGGAGAACACAATTAGAATTCATGAGAAATGATCTGTTTTTCATTTCCTCCTGGGACCAAAGCCTCCTGTCCTCTCCCAGAGAATTAACAGAGCGGCTGCAGTAGTTGGGGTCAATGTACATTGAAGGTTGAGGGCATATTCTAAGTAAACATAGAGTACTGCACAGAATTAGGAGCTTGGGGTGAGAAGATTTCTCTCTCAATTATGCAGCAGGATGCAGATTGCCCGCTGAGGTCAGAAAGAGGTTTAGAGAAGCCAACTAATGCAATTCTTTCAGTGGGGAAACTAAGGCCCAGAATGTGCTGATGGCTCTTCCAAGGTCTCAGCAGGAGTCACTGGCTGATTTACAAATCAAAGCCCTTTCCTTTATAAACTCTGATGGGAGAAGTGTGCCTTTTCCTGTTCAGCCACAGAACTGTGCTTGCTTCTGGAGAAAACAGAGACAGGGGCCTTGACCCCATGGGGCTGGCAGTCTGATGGGAGTGAGCAGTGTGTCATAGACAAATCAAGCCCTTTCCCATTCTTTGTAGCTCAGATTCTATTTCTAATAATTTTTGTAAAATAGTATCTATCCCCAAGCTAGGATAAAAGTGAAAGTTCATTGACAAAATTTAGACACAACGAGGACCATCATCGAGATCCTTCAAAGTTCTTTGATACATTTTACTAAATACCATGAGAGAAAAGGGGTTATCTTAGAAATAGTGCATAGGTAAGATGCATAGCAGGGTTCCTTACACAATACAATATGCTTGAGAATGGCCCTGAGCCATGACTTAGCGTAAGAAAATCTGAGATTGAGAACAGGCTTTTTTGTAGAGATGTGTACAAGTCTTTTTATGCCTCAGTTTCCTTTTTAGTAAGTTAGGTGGAATAAACTTTGCTCTTCCTATTCCTTAAGAATCAAGTGAGCTAACGTGTTTAGAAAACTGTGTCATAACATTTGTGACAATATAGGATAAAGGCACAGGAGAAATAATCCTTTCAAAGCACTTTTCCATGAATTGACTGAAAACACTGAGTGTCATGAACCAGGTCATGTAGAGCTGGATGGTGATGGAGTCAGCGTAGAGAAGCAATCTGGTATTCATTTAGCAGCTGGTGATGCCAGGCAGACACTTCACTGCTCATACTGTCAGCATCACTGCCAGTATAACAGTGTTTATTGAGCTAATTACACATCAGTTGGGCATATGTAATTCAAGCATTTACTTCATTTGGCATTTACAATAAGACCATAAGAAAGGAGTTACTTTTGTTTCCATTTTATAGGTGGGGTAAGGGAATCAGAGCTGGTGAAGTGCAGTGTTTGCTCCTGGGAGATGACTCTGGGTCTGACTGTCTGACTCCTAGGTCTAAACCACTGAGCAGAAACCCTTGTACAGTTCTAATTCCAATCTCACAACCCTCAAAGAAGACACTCTATTGTGAAATTTATTTCCACTAACAGGAAGAAAACCATTGCTCTGGGAGATAGAGAAGCTTGTGGAGGGATCTCACTCAGATAGTGGCAGAGACAAGATGTTGTCATTGTGTCTCAAAATCTGGACTAGCTTTTCAGCTGCCTTCTAAACTCCGAGCATTGCCACACGTCCTTTTGCCCCTCTTTTTGCCCCTCTTCATGTTCCTGGCTTCCACCACTGAAAAAGGGGTCATTTTATGTCAGATCCTGCGGTTAAAGCAGATTCTTCCCCCTCCCTCTCCCATGCACGGCCAGGTCTTATGGTGTTTGTTTATCTGCACTATCTCTACCTGGGCTTCCCCAGCTCTCCTAGAAGCTGGTGGGCTTTGAAACGCACCCTGTGTTCATCAGAGCCAAACTCATTCTACTCAACGCAGCCCCAAACAGAAAACCTCCCTCCACGATCTCTTTCTTCTGGCTTATACTATGATAACCCTCCTTATTAGTTCCAGACCAAGCTTCCACACGTATGCCACTCCTGTGGCATCTCCCCGTATCCTGCCCCCTGTCCCCAAACACCTCACAGCTTTTCATTGGAGGTCCTAGACTGAAATGCCCAAAGATGCCATTCTCAAAACATAAACAAATGAAATAAGCTGCTTTGTAAGCTTAGGCAGAAACACATTTTGCCCATTAAATACAGATGCAGTCTTTGCACACAAATTTTTTACTAGCTTTTTGTGAAATACATGTTCTCCCAGGCACTTTCATCTTTGCTCCTTTTGGTAGAGACACTTGGGGTTGGAGAATGTTTCTCTCTTTTTAGTGTAAGAGAAGCAACGGGCAACCAAGAGAAAGCTTCAGCAAGAGGGGATTGTGGGGTGCTGGGGACCTCACTGAGCCACCCCCACCTCGTGCCAGTTGGTCACTGGCAACCAAGAAGCTGGCAGAGTTGCCACACTTTTATGTGTAGATTTTTGTGTAATTCTTCAGAATTAATTCAGCCTGGTCACCGCTTGTTTATGAATCTGGGTGCTCATTTTATAGTCAAATATTTTACCAAATATTTTCTCAGCTCCTCCTCAGATGATCTTTCTAGGCTTTTCTCTTATAGCCCCTAAAGATGCCAATTCCAGCTATCCTGTGTCAGTGCATCATTTTATCCCTTTTGGTGTCCATGCCATTGTAGCTTTGCTGAGACATCCCACTTAAGAAACTGCATTTGTTGGGTTCTTGTTTTTCCTTCAAGACTCAACTCAAACATCACCTGTTTCTGAGGCATTTCCTCGTGATGCAGGAAGGACCATTCCCAAATACATATGTTACATATCCTCTTCTGTGTTACTTTGTAATTTATTAAATATGCATGAAATTGTGAAAATTCCTGGGGGGCAGGACTATCTGACTCTTCTTTGTGGGCCCAGTTTCAATACAGCAAAAAGCTTATAGATTTTCAATATAATTGTTGGCCTTTATTCTTTAGGAAATGGGCAGTCATTGAAAGATGTTGAGAGTGACACAAAATAATGTTCTAGGAGATACCCTTGGACTGACTAATGAGAGGAGACTGCTATCCGGTGGACAGTTAGGAGGTTTTTGCAGTAATTAAGCATGACAAATAAAAGTTGGAATGAAGGGGTGAACAATGGAAGGAAGGAATATTTGGTACATCAGAGACAGGGTTAGCAGGAGAACAGTGGCAAGGCAGATAAGAACATTTAGCAGATGCAGTTTAACTTTTTGCACACAATGGGAGAAAGCATAAACCTGAATGCAGGTGACTCATGCTTTCTTTGTCAATGACCAGGCATCATGAAGTGAGCTTGAAAATAGGGTGTGTGAGTGTGCTGTTCTCTTGGAGGTTCTGGTTTCTCATTAATTGTACCTTTCTGTCACAGCCATACCATGGCTCCTTTCTAAGTCAATCACTTCATCTGATAAACTCTAATTTGTCATATTTCTGGAAAGAACAGTGCTCTTCTGAACATACTAAAAGATAGTATTTTACTATATTTAAGGAATTTTTAAGAGTGGATTTGTCTATCATAATACTTGCCTTATACTACAACTTGGAGGGCACTATAATTTAATTTACATAAAAGAAGAAAAGATTGAGAGTCCTGAGATGTTCAAGTGTGATGGCCAATGAGCTGCCCTTCTCTGGGCTTTGGACATGCTGATGATGGAGTTCTTCCTTAACTTCTAAGATCTCAGATGCACAGAATATGAGGGTAAAGTGGACCCAGTTGTCCCCACCATTTTGGCACCAGAGACTGGTTTTGTGGAAGACAGTGTTTCTCCCAGTCATGGCGTAGTGGGTGGTGGCTTCAGAAAGATGCAGAGGTACACGCAGCCTAGCTCCCGCACCTGCACAGGTCATAGTAGGGTTCATGGTCTTACGAGAATCTAATCCCTCTGCTGATCCAACAGCAGTAATTCAAGCAATGGGGAACAGCTAAAAATATAGATGAAGTTGCATCAACTGCTTCCTTCTTCCTGTTGCAGGAGCACTAGGGGTGGTGAGTGGGTTTGGTTTCTCTTGTTATAAACGATCTGGCTATACATCTTGTATCTGACAGAGGAGGAGCCAAAGCCCCCTCTGGAAGGAGTTTTTTGCCCAACGATATTTAGTATAGCATGACAGTGGGGAACCAGTCTTCCCAACTCTCTGACCATGACTGTTCTCTACCCTTTGCTTGTTGCATCAGCCAGATGTGGTTCACATGCCTCATCTGTGCACTGCAGGAATCCACAATTGAAGCCACATTCCACGGAAGCAGATGCTGCTGTGCAGATGTGCACGTGGCTTGAAGACCAAGGACGGCAGGAAATCAGATCGGAGAGGAATTCTCATAAATAGGAACATTGGGCCCACAGCCTTGGGGTCCTGCTGTTCTTCAAGCTACTGATGTGCACTTGCATCCTGGCAGGCCTGGATGGGAGGCCAGTTTGTGGGCTTGGTCTGGGATAGCTAATTATACCACTTTCTGTCATTTACCCCACTTCAACTGATGTTCAAACAAAAGAATTGTAATCTGTCATACTTTTGGAAAAATAATGTTTCTTCCAGGCATACCAAAAGACAGTATTTAAAGAATAAAAACAAACAAATACTGTATTTAAGGAATTTTTAAGAGAGTCTCTGTGATATGGAAGAATCTTTAAACCCACTCCCTGCCTGCCAGGGAAATTCAGTCGTGAAGTAAAAAGGGTTCAAAATAAGAGATGGTATCCAAAGGTAAGTCAGTGATATTAAAGTTCCTTGGTGAAGGACAGTGGTGGCATGATATGTTTACAAGCTCTACTTGAATAATAAGTCACTGAGGTATCCCTGGTAGACTGCAGGCTGTAAATGAAGGGCATGCAGTCATGAAACTTTGAGATGCTTTGATTGTTATAAAAACATTACTCCTATCTCTTGGAATCATCCTAACTAGGAAAATGAGGATTTGGTGGGGTTATCTGGAAAAATTTTGGCAAGGAGGGCTGGGGTTAGAATGGTAGAATTTAAGGAACCTTAAGGATCAGCTCAGCCCACCTTGTCATTGAACAGATGATAAAACAGACTTTGGGAGAGCAGGATTGACTTATCCTGGAGTCACATGGCACACGTGTGCTTTTGTTCAGATGGAAAGAGACGAGCTTCACTCTCATTCTGAGCCAGAAAAAGCACATATCTGGGGGCTGAGTTTGGGAAGGTAATTATCAAAAGTGAACAGGTTTCAACCGTGTGTGAGGCTGCTGGGCCTGGCAGTTCTTAGGCAGACTGCTATCCTGTCCTTGATCTTCAGCCTTCAGTCTCCCCTTTCCTCCCACAAGGACTTGACCACAGTGGCAAAACTCGAGCCATGATGCCTCAAGATGCTGGAGAGTGATGACCAAAGAAGGTGAGCAGGCTGAGGAAGCCTTCAGGTCACCTTTACCTGAGCAGCTGCTGTCTCTTTTCTCTGTTGGCCCTAATTGAAGGGTTGTTAGGAGAACGTGCTCACTGGGGGAAACTATGGGAAAACAACCACTTACAGATAGATGGGTTTTTTAGAAGCCCTGCAGACTTGTGTGTTTTTGACTTTTGACTTTTTCCCAAATTCTACTGGGTATGTGTGCACAAGGGCTCAGGGGCCTGTCTCCAGCCGATGACCGGGTATGGGGTGGGGGAATACTCCAGCAGGAGGCCTGCACAGGTCCCTTGGATGCCAGAGCTTCTGTCTAGGGCTAATGCTGATGTGAGGATGGCTTTCCACAGGAGTCAATGGTGCAGGTCCACTATATGTTAATTCTTTTTTCTGAAGGAATCAACAGTTTAATCCATGAGTCAACCACAGCAGACTGTACCTTTGCAACTCCCAAAGACCAGCCTCATCTGTCTTTTGCAGGCTACCAGTCCCATAATCCCTAGCACAGGGCATTCGCAGAAGGCAGTGCTCTACAGCAGTGACTTGGGGATATCACCAACATTTGGAGACATTTTCAGGTGTCACACCTGGAGGTGAGCCATCACTGCCATCTAATAAGTAGAGAAGCAAGGGAGGTTTCTAGAAATTCTACAGTGTCTCAGACAGCTTTCTCCTCTGGCTTAAACTGAGGAACCCTGATGCGAAGCACCATGGCTATTTCATGTGGACTCAGCATATTTATTGGCCACACACCTCCTATTAAATGACAAAAGTAGAGGCGGGACTCTTGGCCTGTGCCCTTGGAGGAAGCTCCTCAAGCTCAGTGGCACATTGGTGTGGTCGTTTAACATGAGACTCAAACACATTTGGGATCTTGACGTGCTCCTGCTTAACTGTACAATGTTGGGTGTGTTACTGTTTGTTTCTTTGCCATGAAGTGAGATATTTGCTTCTGTCTTATAGGACTGTTGTATAGTTTAAACGAGGTTAAAAATGTAAAAAATAATTTTTTTTACAACAGTTACTACTTTGCTGTTGACCAAATATTCCGGTTAACACAAGTTTAACTTTTTCTGAATTACTGGAAAATGAGACTACATTAATACTAAAAATAATCAAGGCCAACTCTGGGTTTCTTTGATGGGAACCTCTTCCAGGAAGCCAGAGAGAGCTTAGAAAATAGGTCTTGGCTCTCTACAGCTTTCTGAAGTAAATACAACTTTAATAAACTTGGTCTCAGAATGCTTTGAAATGAGAACAGCTTCTTCCCCATAACATTTTTTGTGGGTTCTCTAAATTCCAGGGAATATTGTTTGTATGTTGTAATAGTGTCTTGCTCAGCTGCAGTATATTCTTTACATATCCTTCATGTAGTAAAATTCCTTCCTGCAATGCTGTTTGCTGATAAAATATAAATTACTTAGCATGATATTTAAGGGCTTTCAGAATCACATCCAACCCTCCCTTCCAACTTTCAGTTACTGCGTACCCAATATTTCTCAAACTCTTGATTATTATTTGGGGAATTGGGCAATGCTTCCTAATATATCAGTGTTGGGCATTCTGGCACCATTTCAGTTTGGTTTTGGTATGCTCTGGGGTCTCTGGGACCTTCAAGAAGAAGCTGGTAGAGAGATTACAAACTTTGAGAATGAAAAGGATTTGTGTGTGTGTGTGTGTGTGTGTGTGTGTGCGTGCGCGCGCGCACGCACATGCTAAGGATGAAACCCATGCCCTCAGGCATGTCAAGCACAGGCTCTACCACTGAGCTATCCTCCTAGTCCTGAGAACAGAAAGAAAAAAGATGTGTTTGGTTGAGCCACTCACCACCAGTTCCAATTTCTCCTGTTGTTTTTTCTAGTTCTACTTACTCAGCTTGAACTTGGCATACTACTCCTGGCCTTCATTCAACACATTGAGACCTCTAAACATAAGCCTGCAAGGTCGGTTAGAACAGTATCCAACTCTAGACTTCCTTCACTCCTGGCAGACAGCCTGACTCAGTTAAGAAAAGTGGGGGCCTCACCTTCACGTAGTCATATTCACAAAGGTACGATGACTCCAAGTTGAAGTGCATGAAGTAAAGCTTGATCCGAAATCCTTCAGGGACAGTGATATTCCAAGTCACCTCTGAGTCGCTTGGATAGGAGTCAGGATAGCCAGGGGACTGAATCTGGCCAAACATATCATTTAGCTCCACAGTGTGGCCCGAAGCCTTCAACAGGGAGAAGCACAGACCGTAACAGAGGAGGAGCCACCTGAAAAACATGAATGTGGATCTATTTATTCTCATGGACACAGGTCACCAGCACCTGACTGGATCTGCAGCCAGGAGCTCAGATGGTCTCAGAGCACTGCACCTGCAGTTACTTTGTCTGCTGGTCCTTGCTTACCCAGTCTGTAACCTGAGCGGAAGTAACTCTATGATTTCTAGGGTCCATTCCACATTTAGTCATTTGAAAAGTTGCTAAGAGTTTTAAACTTTTCCAGAAAGTACATTTGGCACGCTTACATAATTTGCTTTACTACTGAAAATGTAAATTTTACAATTAGGTAAAATTCAGCATCATTTCTTCAGTTCAGCTTCATTTATGAATCATTATGATGCATTTTTTCTAAAAGATGAGTAATAATAAAATGGTAGAAGCGGGATACATTCTCAGTGATGAAATCTTCCAACCTTAAACAAATTCAACATGTTGAAAAAAATATTTCATCACAGCATCAATCAAGACATGCAAAATCTTGAATAAAGGCAACATGAGTGAAATGGATCATCTTCCTCTTGGCAAGAGGTTTAATATGAGGGTAAAAATGTTATGATTCATTTCTAGAGGAATGAAGATATTGGGCTGTTAAAAAAGAGTTGCAAAAGAAAGCAGAGAAAACAAAACTTACAGAAGGTAGCAAATGTGAATAATGGAGTAATGAGGTTCAACAAGCAAGCCTGGCCAAAACCCTAATGATCAGTGCACAGCAACACACCAGGTGTCTAACTTAGTGTGTCACGTCCCCTACAAGACCCAAGGCATTAAACATCCCAAACTTGGCTCATCAACTTCTCTCCTAAGAGGCTGATGAACTGATTTCTGATATTCAAAAATGTGTTTACCATCCATCAGTTTGCTAAGTTTACCATTCCCTTTTCCTGTTACACCTTGTGTAACAGTCACGAGGTTGTACCTGATTCTATTTCCTATGTTTTGGAAATCCCTCTCCTCTCTTAATTTAAACCATCTGCTCTGGAGTATCGCTATAGCATCCTAACAGTCTCTTTCCCAGTTGTATCATTCACAAGGTGATTATATGTCCTCTGCCAAGGTGGGTTTTCTAAAGCACAAATTCCATCATGTTGTTCAACTGTGCCACAGCCATGGGGGACACATCTGTTCTCTGTAAGGCTGATGAAGCTGGTGTTGATCCATTTTTCCATGTCCTTCTTGATATCAACTATGCCACTTCCTCTCATGACTTGGTTTCAGTGCCCATGACCCCATCCTTCGCGTGCTGGTGTCTCATTTATCTTTTACTGCTCAGCTCAAAGCTTCCTGGGCTATGAAGAATCCCTCATCCCTCCAGATCGTACATCTCCTTGGGTCTGTCTCCCTGTACACACCTCTGTTAAAACAGCTGTCACACTGTACTGCATCAGGCAAAAATGTACTTGGGTTTAAATCCCATTTCCTCCACTTAGGGCAACAAGGTTCTTTGAGCTTCAGATTCCTCGTATATAATATAGAGGTTATAATCCCTAACTTACAAAGCTCATGTGAACGTCAATTATGGTGCATGTAAAGGATGTCACAGAGAGACTGGTATCTAATAGGTTATGAATGGATGAGGAAGAATTAATGAATAAAAGAAAGTGGGCCAGAGTTTTAAATAACCTAAAAAGTCAATGCTGAGAAGCTATACTAGCATTTTTGATTAAGTTAAAGCTTTGCTAATCAGAAAGTTATTTCTCTGCCAAGACCGCCTTCCATGTATTCAAATGCATATTTCAGTTTATATGCTTACAAATGAATTTTTGAGTCTGTAACAGGGCAAAACAACTACGTGCATAAATTATTTAGCTATTTCTTGAGCTATTCACATAAAAAGTAGATAGATAAGCAGGAAAAGGTCTAGAAAGATACACATCATAGCATTACCAGTTTGTCTATGAAATGGGAATGAATGTTTTGAATTTTGTGTACAGAAAATGCTTACATTTATCTAGAAGGACCATGTATTATTTTTTTTCAATAAAAAGAAAGTGAATTTATTTAAAATTTTTTAAAGGCCCCTACAATAGCAACACGTGGGATGTTGTAAAGAAAACAAAACGCTTGAATCCAATAGCCAGCGTCAATATTTTCTAAACCAATCTGTGGAGGAAGACTTCACAGGCAGAGAGAAGAGAAGGTTTGGGTCCAAGTTATCCAGGTTGCTGGTAGAAATATGGAGTCCAGAATGCGGGGCCCAGCCACTCCCATCTCCAAGTAAGGAAATGCATTATGGTTCAGGGCTAAGAGTTCAGGTTTAGCTAGCTGAGGCATGGAGAGGAGGTTCAGCTAGAGGTCTTGACTTTGTTTATCCTACCATTCTAGAGAAGGTATAGGAAGCCTGTGCGCTTCCTCCTTTCTTGTATGGTAACAATAACGCTTCCCACAAGGTTGTTACCCCCAGGAGCATTAGAAAGGGTTTTTAAAAAATGTCCAGCTTTAGGCAAACATTGTGATTACTCCATCCTGCTGGTTCCCGAAATGCAGGAGTTAGGAGTGAGCTTTGGCTCTCTAAATCGACTTCCCTGCAATAGAGACAACAAGATTACGTAAGGCTGAAAGGTCAACATTCTCCATGTCTGCTTTTTCCAGACCACAGTGGGGAGGCTCTGGGCCTATCAAGGGCTGGAAGCTGCCTGGTCCATCTAACTCAGGGGCCCAGTGCCGTGTGTGGTGGGCAACCAATGAGTGTGGGAGGAAGCCTGTGAAGCTTTCTGTTCCTCTCTGTTTGCATCTTGAAACAGTTTCAAACATATGAGGCAAATATCTCCTTTCACATAATGGGCTTGAGCATATGCTTGCCTGCTTCCTTGCTTAAGGGTCTGTAAATCGAAGAATGTAAGTGGCAGCTTTCATTTCACATCATGTTAGGACTATTTTTGGCTTCTTACACACCAGGCACCGGCTGTACAATTTCTGACACCTGTTATCTATCCTCCAGTTAATCAAAAAGTTTAGCTACATTTGCTTGAAATGTCAGAGTAATATATAGAGCTGGGATTTCATAGGCTCCACTGTAAGAATCTGTGCATAAAGATACATCAGATGCCTGCGTAGATCTCGTATGATTTTAGAATGAATAGTGATTTCTAGCCTCCCCATTCACTTCCCTCATTTAACTTACACAACACTAAGATACCATTTTTAAGCCTAAGAGTTGGAACGGATTGTATGGCTTTCTTACACACCACCCTCATTTGACAGATGATGAAAAGATACCCCGAGAGATGTCACATCATGCCCAATGGCATATGGTGAAGTAACTTCAACAGAGAAAGAGGATAACAAAAGCTCATGGAAGAAGTTGGGTCCATGCCCATATCATGCCCAGGCATCTGGCCAAAGCAATTAATCCTGTGAAAAATAATTTTAAAAAAACATGGTTGTATGTAGAAATTTAAAAAATACTAATGCGTGAGCCCTTCCTCAAGAGATCTGGGGGTAACTGGTCTGGAGTGAGACTCGGCATTGGTGTTTTATAAAATCCTACAGTTCAACAGTTCATTCTGATATGGGGCCAGGATGGAGTCTGGTGAAGTATCATAGCACAGATGCTGGCCTTGGAGCCCAAAGATTCAAGCCCATCAATCTGGCTTTGGGCAAGTTGCTGCATATATTTTCTCCTCATTCATCCATCCAAACTTCATCCAAAATCTGAAGACTAGATGAGACAATACCCATAAAATTGCTTTGCAAATTCCAAAGTGTTGTATGCGTGTAGACAAAACCTTTTAGAGACTTTTTTCACGTGGCACTTTTCTAGCCCTTGCTTCACTATTCAACAGTTGCATTAAATTAAAACAATAGTTATTAAACATTTAAGCAGGGAGCAGACACTATGTTAGCTATTGGTTATACAAAGATGCACATACTGACTAAGGTGTTATACTTAAAGAGGTGCTCCAAAGACAGTAAGAGATGTAGCTCCAAAGGCTAGAACAGAACAAAGGAGGAGATGCTATCTCTAGAGGATGGAAATTAGGGAAAAAGGAAGTGTACTGGAATTGGTTGAAATAATCAGGTGGAAAATAAGGAACAGGGCTTTTCTAGACTGAGAGATAAAGGAGCACAAAGATACAGGGCTGTTAGCTCTGTAGTTTGGCTAGCTGGCACTTTAAGTTATATGGTGAGATTCCTATCCTTTGCAGGTAAATCAGACTATCATTCTTTGGCATAAGGACCTTTTTTTTTTCAGTGAAAAGAAAATGAAGATTGGTGGTAGGAATACAATAAAAGAATGCTTGATTGCATTTAAGGATCCGATTATTGCTCTGAACACAGGCAATTGGAATTAGAGCAACCTATTGCCTGAAGCCCCTCATTGGCAAAGTTACTAAGCGACTCTGCCAAAAAGAAACAAATAGAAGCACCCCCAATTAAAAGAAAAATTAATAAGAAAAAGGATATACATGACTTCACAGATCCGTAGATTTCTCTTCCCCACTTTTTTGGTGTTTCCACTAACGATAACACTTACATACAATAAAAATAATTAGGATGATTGTGTTTTCAGACCTTCAGACAAAAACATTGTAAGGAATATCTGAAGATATTCCAAGTGGAATTTAAAGTCCTGGGTTACAGAACTCCAAAAGCTCCTTAAAAAAAAAAAGGTTGGTATCCCTTTAAGAACCATTTGGTACAATTCATAGCTTGATTCATGTCACCAGCTGCCTCTGATTTCAGTGAGAAATGCAGAAATTTACAGGGAACTGTAAAATGGGGACAGGTTTTTAGTTTTCTAAATTGAGGTTTAACTGGCAAACTTCTGAAGGTTTAAGAAACCACGAAGCTGGGCTGTGGAAAGCTGGTTTCTTTTCCGGTCCGAACAAATAAATACACAAACACATACCTAACTCTCAAAGTGTCCGGAGAGAGAAACCAGTGCGCGTTGCAGAAGGGAAAAAGAAAAACTAGCCTTGTGGGCACCAGGAAGACAGCCACCCTGGCCGGCAGGCAGCACCCTGTCCTGACAGAGGGGGAGATCTGAGCTCCAGCAGCACCCAGGGCAGGATTGGCACAAACTCTCCCGCTTCAAGTTGCACAGCTCGGGAGTCCCAGGCATCCAGCGCCGCCACAGCTCTCTTTGCAGAGCCCAAAGGTTTGACGAGAAACACCCAACCTCCCACGGGACGCGCAGGTGAGTCTGCCTGGAGACAAGGTCAGACCCTCTCTGCGGCTTGACAATTGGTCTCCGAAAGGGTACAGTGCCCTCTCCTGCCTTGGCACTCACCTCATTGTGCTGTCCGGGCTGCTCCTGGCCGCCTGGTCTTGATCCCCTCTGCCGGACTTGTCTGTGAGCTCGTCCCCGGTGTGGTGGTGTCAGCGATGCCTTATCTTTGTTCTGAAGTCCCTGTGTGTCTCTGGAATTGGCTGGCATTCTCCATTCAGGTCACGCCTTCCCCTGCCTGCAACAGATCCCCTCTCCCCCTCTCTCCCTCTGGCTTTCTCTCTCTCTCTCTCTCTCTCTCTCTCTCTCTCTCTCTCTCTCTCTGCTGACACACTCAGAAGAACCTGACGGAACAGAATGTGTCTTCTTCCTTAAAAGATCTGCTTCCCTAGCTCCCTCCTTTACCCCAATGGCTGACTCCAGCCCTTTCCTTGAGACACAGTAAGGGAGAGGCACTAGCAAAGGTATTGCTCCTCCCCCTCTCTCCCTAAGAAACAGTGCAGAGGGACAAAGCCTAATCTCTCTTCAGCCTCCCTCACTTAATGGCTGTAATTTTTGCCCTGCCTCTGGACACCAGCAAAAGAAAAGCAATGAAAAGAATCAGTCATCTCACGAGACAACTTCAGCATCTATGTTACAAGGGGAAACAAGATGTAAATTCCAAAGTCTCAGTTTTTCTGCAAACAACTTGTGAACAGAGTTGCAGACCTGGATGGATGATGATGGAGCACCGAGTTCTGCGGTTTGCCAGCTGCTCTTCCCATGCATAAGCAATGTTGTGCTGCTGTTTATCAGCTTAGAGTGTATGGATTGCAACTTGGCCTGGGAGGGGCTGGCACTGGCCAGAAAGCCAGTTGCTCCCTCAGGTAAAGAAGGACCCCGGTCCCGTGACCTTCAATGCCCAAAGTTTGTGGGAGAAATTCCATGGAGCCTAGGCTGGGATGAATTATAAGGAACATCCACAAAATGCTGATAAGACTGAGTGGAAACAGACATTCCTCCCCCATACCCATTTCACAGAAATAACAGTTGACACTGAATAGGGTGAGATCTCCAGCAAAGTAACAGTGCCCTCTACAACAGTACCCGCCTCTCAACAATGGTGACCCACATGGAATAGGCATGGGACATCTGGGTGTAAAAATATGCTTTTCCAAACATCCTTTCTGTATTAGATGTCATTTGCATTGCTGTGCAAACTTTTGAGGGTCTACTGCTGTACACTGAGGACCTCGAGGCTTGGAAAGATGATATAACTCATCAAAACACTCCAGCTCTTTGTTTATCACACTACTAGCAGTTACTTACAACAGACATGGTGTCAAGGGTTTGGCATATGAATCCTTTTCTATCATCTTTTTACTTGGTATAGGTAAGTAGGTAATATGTCCATTTTCCAGAGGAGGAAACTTCTAAGATAGCTTAAGTAATTCATCCAGGGCCATACAGTTAGAAAGTCTTTGAGGAAGAATTTGAATTCTTACATAGTATGCAACCATGCATGTTGCTAATATAATGAATATAGAAACAAACACATGCACACGCATGCACACACACACACACACACACGCACCATTCATGGAGTCATTTTGAAAAGGGTCTTAGATTTAGAACTTAGTGTACTGTTTCCCTCCTATTCAAACTGGCTGTGCACTTTTGGGTACAATACTTTTCTGGTTCTGTCTCCTCATTTGGGAAATGGAGGTTGCTTTGAAGCTTACATGAGATTACGTCTGGGGAAATGCTCTATCTTATTTTCCTGCAGGTGGCAAACCAGGCTCTCCACCCTCTGCTAACACTAATTTGCTGCATTATGGGGAGCAATTCTTGTCCCTTTTCTCTCTAATTCATCCGTTTAATACTTTCAGATGGTCACCTTGGTCACCAATGCAGGTGCATTTGGAGAAATGAGAGGAGAAAACATGTTCGAATTCAGACATAGTTGCAACAAAATGTTGCTGTTTCAGGCAGGGTAACAGGAAAAGCCTTTAAAATCCCCATTTAAAAGACTCTTCTGACATCAAATAAGTCACACAAAACAACATTTTAATGATTTAAGTGTAAATGAATCAGAAACACATGGACTACATTTCTCTTGGAATAGCTAGGCTTTAAAAACTAAAGGAAAAAGAACTTGGCAAAATCCACACAGTTCTGTGCAAAGAGGCCCCGCCCGATGGACATTCACTAGTTTTGCACCCAGGCTGAGCTCACCTTCCCCTAATTTGGGGGCATGCACTAGGAAATGCCATCATCTGTTCTGGTTATGGGCACAGAGGGAAGAGGTTGGGAGAAAAGGCCAAGTGTCATAGAGTGTAAAGTGTCATAGAGCAATTAGGCCTCTTGGAATAATTCCCTGGCCATGTTTTTCCAAGACTGCCAATGTTCAATGACAGGCATTTGAAATATGCTCCAAGCCAAAGTTCTGCCAATATATAGCAGATCTGATATGAGTGCTTCCCTGGGAGCCTGCCAGGCTCAGATGAAGTCTGTATGACAACAACTGCGAGGCTGAGGAATGGAAATGAGTGTGATCAGGGCGCTTTCCCAACCGTTGTGGTGCATCTGTGACATTGTCCTGTACTATTGGTAAAAACTCTCCAAGGTGTCATTGACAGATCAGGGGCTCTGGGAGGAATGTAAGGGCCATTGGTCTGGGCTCTGGAGAACTGGGCTCCATGCCTATTGGCTAAACTGTATGTGATCTCAGACAAGTCATCTGTTTTTGTTGTTGTTGTTGTTGTTGTTGTTTTTGTTTTTTTTTTTGTGGAGAGGAGAGGACACCAGGCTGCTTATGGGCTGGACTGTGCTAGGCTCCTGAAGTGTCTAAATGTGGATGTGGAACGGCAGGATGATCCTGCAGTGAAGGTGGCTAGGTGGGTTGCTAATCTGGAAAGGAAGAAAGGGACTCCAGAGGAGACCTCACAACATCCTCACTGTCTTTCTCTGAGGTCACAGTAGTGCTACCATTACTGGAAATTCAACCACAGATATTCAAAAAATGATCTTTGAAAGAATTCCAAATCTTTGAAAGAATTTTTAATGTCTGACCAAAAACATGGTTTAGATATGTATACAAGGAGCTAATGGGTCGCTATTCAGAATCATAAAGCATAGAAAGACAGAGGTGAACTTGTTGCCATGGACCTTGGAGTTATGGTCAGGGAAAGGAGTCAGGAATTAGTTACTAAGACAGTGCATGCCACAGCCTTTTCTACACTGGAGCATTTTGGTTTACATGTTCTACCAAAGTATTTATTTTGTGTAACTCCTGAGGCAGGGTTTCTGGAATTCCACGTATGTGTCAGGAAATGTAAAGAATTTGGGCAATGGATTTTTTAATGGCAAAAATCCGAAATCTAGGCTTCCTATAGACTACTTAAGAAACTGATAAATAGTTCAAACGAATGCAGATAGAAACAAACTTTGGATTGCTCAGCACATGGACGACAGAAGTCACAGCTTTTGAGATTATCACTTCAGTTCATTGAAATAAAATGTGGGGAATTTAAACAATGTGGGTCTCTGAACTTTATTCCAGGAAATTCAGATTCAATAAATCCGGGATAGAGTTCCTGAATATATAATTTTAAAATTTCTCCTGGCATACTTTGCTCCCTCCTCTTTTTGGGGGGAATATAATTTATGGCTCATCTTATAAATTTGTGATGACTTATATTTGACAAAAAATTTAGTACATACCAAGCACTTCTACATACATTATTGCATATAACATTCACATCTTTTTTACAGATGAAGATACAAAGGTCCAGAGAAATCAAGTGTGATGTAAGTGGATGATTAATGTCTAGAGCCCAGGTCTTCTTAACCCTAATATCAGGGCTCTTTCCCCTCTTCTGGAGACTTCTGATATATCATGGAGGCTCCAGATATTAATGAGACATCCCATCATCTGATTACAGTATTTTCAGGTAACTTATATTGGAAAATAAAGTATAACTGTTGGTTTTGTTGTGGGCTGAATTTGATTATTCCCCTCACCCTTACCCCAAAAAACTAAGATATTAAAGTCCTAACCTCAGCATACTATTATATTGAGCTTTGAAAGAAGTGACTAAGACAAACCGCAGTCTGTAGAGTGGATTCCCATACAACATGACTAGTGTTTTTATAGGAGAAAATTAAGGGGAAGACATGTAGACGATGACAAAAAGATACAGGAAGAAAACAGGCACCTGTCAGTCCAGGAGAAAATTTTCAAAAGAAACCAAAGCAGCCAACACCTTGATCTTGGACTTCTGGCCTCTAGAATTGTGCAAAAACCAGTTTTTGTTGTTTAAGTCATTCAGTAGTTTTGTTCTGCTAGCCTTGCAAATTATAATGCACCCTCCACACCTCCTTGCCTTTGGTGCCTACATCCATTTTATGCTAATTATGTCAGTTAGAGATCTAGCTTCTCACATTGTTTTCCCTCTCCCAGAGTTCCCCTAGGTGTTCCTGGGCCACCTGGATCCAGCAGCCCCATCTCCAGAGCAGGAGAAAGGAGGTCACATAAAGCAGATATTAGCTGAGCTCCGGCTGTGTGGTGGGCAGACCCTGGAAGAAGTCAGAGTCTAATTCCCTTCCATTGTTTCAGGAGCACTAGGTTCCCATTCTCCCTCCACAGCCTTTTGTTCTTCTACATCCTGCTCATCTCTGCCACTGTCACCTCCTTCATTGCTGTCACGAGAACTCAGGCACGTGCCACCACTGCTCACCGTATCTTCTGGATTCTTCCTGACCACCTGGGTGACTCTGAGCTCTCAGAAGCTTCCCTTTTTCATTTTCATCTTTGAACAAGATACTGCTTTCAATTTTCCACCAACTGAAAGAGAAAAGACATGAATACTGGACTGAAAGCTTTACGAGGATGCAAGTTGACACATAGTATAAAAGCTTTATCTAGAATCTTGGCACTAAAATTTCAGTATATTATGGGAAAATCCTAACAATAACCAGAGAAAATAAAGGCATATTCCTGCTAAAAGGATGAAAATGAAGTTACATCAGAAATAAGGGGGAAATGGAGGTTAGCTTAAAGTATAAAAGGAAAAAACTTAAAATTCATAATTGTTCACAGATATGCAAGTAAGAGCGATTCTAGATATACTTAGCCTCTAAAAGCTTCCAATTTGCAAGCTTTTTCACAACGATTTACTAGAGGGAGGCTACCAAGGGAAAGAAAGGTGGTTAGACACAGTTGGTGTCTGGAATATTGTGGAAAAATTGATGCACTCATACAATGCATTGGAAATTCAAAGTGACACAGACAACAAAGGATAATCTGAGGGTTTAGGTAAAATAAAAATGTGTTTATACAGGCAATCACCAGTTTACATCTGTCTCTGAAACACTTTCACATGGACAAGAATTTTCATTGCAGTACTTTTTGTCAGGGATAAACCTGGGCCTGGTTGGAGAGAGGCTAACTATAATATAATTCATTCATGTCGTGAACTATTTATCACACACTAGGAAGGAGAATGAGAAAGAGAATGTGTCCCCATAGATGTAGCTGCAGTATTTATTAATGAGTGCAAAGATTAGGTGGAATTTATATAACTAGGGTATGGCTTATTTCACTAAAAAACCAATAGATTCACTAAACAACATCTATTTTGTATTTTCCACGAATATACTGCACATATTTGTTATATTATAGAAAAAAATATGGAAGGAGATATATCAAACATAAATAATTATTGGTATGGAGGAAGTGACCCAAAGAGATTTTATTCTTTTATGTTCGGGTATCTCCATGTTTAATTATTTGACTCAACAGACATTTATGGGTGTTTTTCTAATTTGTGGTACTGCCTTTAGTGCTAGGCCTTTTAGGTCAGGGCCAGAGGTTTGGTTGCATTTTTAGTACAACTGGAAATCACTGATGCATTGTAAGCAGGTTGAGGTGCGGTGCAATACACAGTTATAAAATGTTCCTCTGGGTACTGTGAAGAGAATGGATTTGAGGAGCCAGAGGAAAGGAAAGCAGTTACAATATACCTGTTAGGACCCAGACCCTTGGTGGGCATAGAGCCTGGAGTCCATGGAAATGTTTTGATTTTAACTTCTTTTAAAATCAGAATAAAAAAATAATTGAGCATGAACTATAATTGACTTTATACCAATATGGCATGAAAATGTGATTTTTAGTATGTTTTTTAATAGGTGAGAGTCCTGAGTGTTATAGACCATCCCTGACTTTGCAGAATCCTTTGGTTGGGCCAAAGAGTGACCATAGACATGGTCACAGAGGCACAGGGCAAAAAGCAAAGACAAAATAGGTTTTGGAAGTAGAAAACCTGAACCTGGTTAAAAATTTAGAGCACAGAGTGAGGCAAGGTGGGGAAGCAAAGACAAAGTGCAGGATTTGGACTCAGAAAGGCCTTGTTTCCATTTGCCTGAGATGGGGAAGAGAGTCCGGAAGCCGTGGATATCAGAGCACATGGACCTCACAGCGCATGGACCTGAAATGCCAGGCCCCACATGGCTGGTAAACTGGGCTTCCCAGGCTGGTGATTCTCTTTTTGGGCCGAGTTTAATGGGGAAGTTCAACAAGGTGAATTTCTAGCCCCTGACAAACTGGTCCCAAATCTCCCAAGTGGACCAAGAGGGCTGCTGATTTTTTAGGCAACAGGGAGAAAAAAATAAACACACAGAAAGGTTTCCTAAACAGAGAATGACATAACTAGATAGGTTTTTTTTTGGTTTTTGTTTTTAAAAGCCCTCTTTGGTAAATGAATGGGAGACAAGAACGAGGTGTGAGATGCAGGAGGATAAATTAGGGTGTCAGCTACACTTACTGTTCCCAGGCTGCTGACTCTTGGGCTGCTGCCAGCCTCAAGGAAAACGTCCTGAAGCTAAAGTCATTTGGAAACGAGCTGGAAGGACCTCCAGACGAGTCCCGGGCAGAGCATATTTTGGCTGAGACTCTGGGCATCTGGTGTACATGGGCCTGGTGGCCCTTAACAGTTTTTTGGCTAAACCACAGGGCAAATTTAAACACTTTCAGTTGTCACAACATAGCAAATCTGAATGACAATGATTTTTTTTAAAGAAGGATTTTAAAAATAAGAATACATCACAGAAGTCATTCCAACACAGCTGGCTGTTTCTCATGCAGTTTTTTTCATATTCATGCATTTTATTTTATAAAATCAATTACCTAATTGACAAAATCGTGTCTGTTTATGGTGTTCAACGTGATATTTTGAAATATGTACACATTGTAGAATATCTAAATGGAGTGAATTAACATATACATCATCTAGTTTATTTATTTATTTTTTTTGTGGTGAGAATATTTAAAATGTACATTCTGCGATCTTCCAGAGTGCAATACATTGCTGTTGACTATAGGTACCAAGCTGTGTAATAGATCTCTTTAACTTATTTCTTCTATCTAATTAAAATTTTATATCATTTTATTAATGTTTCCCCGCCCATTCCACCCCTGCCTCCTAGATACCACCATCTACTCTGTTTCTGTGAAAAATGTATATACCAATGAGATCAGGCAGTATTTGTCTGTCTATGCCTGGCTTATTTCACTTGCCATATTTCCTTTAGATTCATTTATGTTATCACAAATGTTACTATTTCCTTCTTTGTTAGGCTGAATTATACTTTGTGTGTGTGTGTGTGTGTGTGTGTGTGTGTGTGTGTGTGTCTGCGCGTGCTTGTACTGAGATTTCAACCCTTCTGCCAACACTGGGCTTAGTTTGATGTCCTTTTGCTAATTCCTTGAGGTATAAAGTTAGGTTATTTACTAGAGATCTTTTCTTTTTTGTACTGGGGATGGAACTCACAACCCTGTCCTTGGCAGGCAGGTGCTTACTCCCCTGAGCTAAATCTCCGGCACGCTCTTTTTTCTTAATATAGGCATTTATTGCTGTAAACTTTCTTAAAACTTTGTTGGATCTCAAATTTTGGTATGCTGTGTTTCCATTTTCATTTTTTAAGATTGATTGTCCTTTAACTTATTCATTGACACACCAGGTTTTCATGAGTGTATTATTTAATTTCTGCACATTTTAAAGTTTTTCCACATTGCTTTCTCTTGATTTCTAGTTTCAGACACTTGTGTTTGAAGTCAATCCTTGATTTGATTTTGCTATTCTTAAAGTTGTGTAGACTTGTTTTGTGGTCCAAGATTTGATCTATCCTGGATAATGTTTCATGACAACTTGAGAAGAATCCATATTCTGCTCTTCTGAATGAAATATATATGTCTGTTTGGTCCATTTGGTTTATAGAATTATTATTTTTTTAGTCTATAGGATTATTCAAGTTTGTGTTCCTTTTTGATTTTTTGCTGAGACAAAGTTGCCTACTAACACATTACTCTCTATTTCTTCCTTGACTTTTGTTGATATTTGCTTTATATATTTGTCTGCCTCAATGCTTGTTATATTCATGTATGTTTTCTCTTCTTAATGAACTGATCTGTTTATCATTACATTGTGACGGTCTTTGCCTCCTGTGGCCAATTTAGACTGAAGTCTATTTTGTATAATATAAGTAGAGCCACACCAGCTCTCCTGGTTATCACTGCATGAAACGGTTTTCACTATCCTTTTAGTTTCAGTTTATGTGTGTCCTTGAGACCATCCTGAATCTCCTATAGGAAATATATTATTAAGCGTTATTTTAAAAATTCTGTTCATTCTCTTTGTGCCTTTTGATTAGAGAATTTAATTCATTTATATGTAATGTAGTCTTTGGTGGTGACAATATAACAACTGCATTTTGTTGATTGTTTTCTAGTTTTTAGTCCTATATTTTCTTTTCTTTCTGCTTTCCTTGTTTCCCTTCTATGTTGCAGTGGCATGCTTTTATTCCTTTCTCTTTATCTTTTGTGTACTTACAAAACACTTTAATTTTCTATTTAACTTGTGGCTTGTATAAAGCATCTTAAAGTTATAATATTCTATTTTAACCTGATAATAAACTTATTGCATATTTACAAGAGATTTTAATTTTATATTTAACAAGGGGCTTACATGATACATCTCAGAATTATAACATTGCATTTTAACCTAATAATAGCTTCAATCATATACAAGAACTCTACTTTTACTATGCCTCTATTTTATAATGTTGTCATCTCACATATTTTCATTTTAAGTATTCATTGACAAATTGTTATAGCTATAGTTTTTTTAAAAAAATACTTTTGTCTTCTCAATTGTATTCTACAGTTAAGTGATTTACACACCACCAATATGTCTAAATACAAAAACCTTTTGATTTATAGTGGGATCATACCTTGATTAATATTCAGAATTTAAAGAAGAACTACTGAATGTGTATTACTTTTGCAGTATCATAACATTTGAAAGTTACAACTTAGATGATTATAATTTGAGGACAATTTGTGTTTAGCATTTTTTGGCTATGTATTTCCCTTTGCATTTGGGCCATAATCTCCTAGAACACAATTCTGACAATCTTGAACACTGAAATTTTGAAAGATCAAAATCCTCAAAATATAATTCTGGAGCAAATAATTTAAAAAAGTATTTAAAAGGCATTTATTTAAATTTCAAAAGAAAATCTGAGGATCACGTAAAAACATGACAAAACAATAGACTGCTTAACACAATAAAATAAGAAATAATAACATAGTACTTTTTCAAGATAAACACTCAAATAAATGGCAGTATCACTGGTATAACAGTTATGAGCAGAACAATCACAAGGAAAGTAAAAATTGCAATGGATAAATGTTTATCTCTATAGTTGGTAATTGCGTCCATCCAGCCGTACACCTGCAGTTATGTGACATATGGTGACGGACCATCTAAGTCTTTTGTGGAGATCAGTAAAAAGTTGTGATGCTAGATGCTGGATGGTGGGACCCAGTGGCACCCACCCCAAGAATATGAACAGACAGGAAGGAAGATGGTTCTGCTTCACAGACATCTAGCGTCTCCTCCCTGGCCTCCTGGATGTGTATTTGGACAGTGAAAATGGCAAAGGGAGACCCTGAATCGCATTTGGATTCTTCCCCAGGCCAAAGGTCACAGGTTTAGGCGTTATGATACTGCAGGCTGGAAGACCTGGTGCTCAGGGCTGGAGAATGGGACATAGCCATCAGCATCATCCAAATTTAGAGGCTCCAGAAAGGGTGTCAGCCCAGGGACTCATGATCCCTCCTGCCCTCCATCAGCTCGTCAGCACCCCATGGACCCAGCTCTTCCTGTCTCCCCCTAGCACTGTTGAATCTGCAGCGTCTTTGAAATAGCTCCTGGCTTTGGCATGATCTTCTGGTTTTCTCTTGGCTGGTGCCTGAGACCTCAGTCATATTTTGGGCATGTGGGTGAGCCCACCTCCTTCCAGTTGTCTCTATCCCTTCCTCGCTTAAAACTGTGTGAAACCAATACAAAAAAGGTCTCTTTGGGAAATAAAATAATAATGTGTCATCAACATAGATGCAGTCAGGCAAAATAACAAGATTTTGATGAATTTATTGTTCACAAATGCAGATATACAAAAAGGACATTGCTTCATTTATTAAGGAAGTTTTCATGTTTTCTCATATGCAGAGAATTCTTAACCACAAAGCCAAATGTGTGACAATGTGCTTTTGTGGAATTAAATTTGCAGGAAAAATTGAATAAAACATTAGAACTCTAAAATTTTTCACACAATTTATAGCTCCAGTACTGGAAGTGATGAGAAGATTTAAATATATAACACAGAAAGTTATAAAATACAGTGCTGATAATGTAAAATAGTAGGGGAAAAAGTAAAAAATGAACAAAAAAGGAAAACCCAAAAAAGAACTGAAAAGAAAACTTGAGATCTTAGTCACTTTCCCATCGCTAAGACACAATATCTGACACCCACAGCTTAAAGGAGGAGAGGCTTATTTCGGCTCATGATTTTTACAAGATTTGGCCCATAGTTGTCTGGCACCAAGACAGAAACAACATGGTAGGAGGGCTGTGGGAGGGGAACGCTTCCCATGACACTGCAGAGAGAGAAGGGAGGACCTAATGAAAGAGATATGCCCTCCCGGGTCACACTACAGTGAGTCACCTCTTCCAATCAGGCCTAACCACACACTTGGCTCTCAGTTCTTCAGCAAGTTAATTCACTGATGAGTGTAGCATCTCCCTCATTCACACATCCCCAAAGCCCAGCCTCTGAACACATGACTCTTTTAGGAGGCTTTCAGATCTAGGTCGTCAACATCTGAGATGTGCAAAATTGTATTCCAGGAACAGATTATGAGCAATCATGTGGAGCTAGTCCACAAGAGCTGGCCAACACCCACAACCATATATTTTGCTGTCTTGCAGCATGATGAATAGCTACTTTGAAGGTAGTGGCTTTTGATTTTTTTTTGTTTTGTTTTTTCTTTTAGGTCATAGCTTTCCATGGAGAATGAATTCACATTCATATGTTCTGTGGCACTGAAATTCTATGATTCGATATACACTGTTTGAATATTCCTCATTAAATATTTCCATCTTTTATTTTGTGTTCCTATGTTGTTTTGGGCATGCAGAAATCCATTCTGTATTCATTCAGGCCACAAATTTGGAGGATAAAATATGAGTGGTCAAGCAGCCACACCATTACGTAAGTGTCTTCTTATCCTATCCTGCACATAATTATCTTCAAACTAGTAAATAAGTACACTGTCTTCTTTGGGGAAAATGTGGCTTTAATTCATTAAAAGCTCCTGGAATTCTATCAGCTGGAAGGAATGCTAATGCAGACAAATGACCCACTTGAAACTGAAATTTTTGTCGCCGCTCTATTATGTGGCCAATGCTTTCATCTTAATTTCCCCCTAAATGCATGGGACTGAATGGAAAAACCAAACTTTTTAACACCTTGAAATTCGCCTTTAGAAACCTTGATCATATCTAATTCCAAATGTGCTAGTTGAGAGGTTAACTGAAATCTTCAAACACATACTTATAAAGTGTTTCAGTATCAGGGAGGGGCTCTTGGAAGGAGGTTGCATGATGGGGGGCACTTTACCCATAAGAAGATTGGCCCATTGATGAGTTCATAGCTGATTGCTCTGTCCACAGGTAGAGCTGGGTCCGAAAAGGCAGGACACTGGGGGTATAGCTTGGAAGGTTAATTCTTGTCCTGGCTCT